TGGTTGAGCATCTGCCTTTGGCTCAAGTAGAGATCCCAGGGTCCTGGGATCAAAACCGTCATCAGGCTCCGGGTGGCGGAGGAGCCAGGAATCTGGCTTCTCTCTCTCTGCCTATGTCCCTGCCCCTCTCTCTGTGTCTCTCTCATGAATAAATAAAATCTTCTTTCAAAAAATGTATAAGCTAACCTGTATCTTAGTGTGAATGAATTTCTTTAGAGCCTTTCCTGAGAAATTTTGGGTAGATCATCAATTGCATAGGAAGAGTTAAGATAGCCCTGAAGAGGGATCCCTGGGTGGCGCAGCGGTTTGGCGCCTGCCTTTGGCCCAGGGCGCGATCCTGGAGACCTGGGATCGAATCCCACATCAGGCTCCCGGTGCATGGAGCCTGCTTCTTCCTCTGCCTATGTCTCTGCCTCTCTCTCTGTGTGTGTGTGACTATCATAAATCAAAAAAAAAAAAAAAAAAAAAAAGATAGCCCTGAAGAGAAGAAAGCCTGAGAGAAAGGCTCCTTTTCAGTTCTATCTGAAAACATCATCCTACCATGGATCAGTCTGAAGGAACATGGTTCTTCAAAAGAAACCCCAGACTTCTGCTGAATGCCATATGAAATTATCTTGTTTGTTTCCCCATGGCAGTCCCTCTACAAAAATCTATTTCTTTTTTTTTTTTAACAAAAATCTATTTCAATGAGACATTAACAATTGGCAATTGTTTACTGACAGCAAAGTAAGGTCAAGAAACAGAGACCCTAATCTTTCAGACTTAGAAGAAAAACATTTTCTAACCCTAGAATTCCTGGTATAGTACTCAATCAACTGCAATGCTTGAATTAATCAACAACATAAAGAACGCCAGATTAGCGGAATGTTATCCAGCCAATGCAAACGATCAATCATTAAACCCAGTTTCTGGAGTCAGATAAACCTGGTGATTGAGTCCTGGCTCCACTGCTTACTCTATAAGACTGAGTTTCCACATATGAAAAGAAAGATATTAAATTAAGCCCATATCATGGGGCTGCAGTAAGGATTAAATAGTGCAGTGCTTTGCACTGGGCCTGGTACATAGTTCTGGAGAAAAGTGAGCCATCAGTTAGAAACCTAGATTCACATTCCACCACTATTTGCCTACGTATCTTGGGCTCATCACTAGAAAGCCGCCAATGAAAGCATGAAAACAAAATTAAGTGCTCCTTAGTGCTGGGATTATCAGTCATACATAAGGTAATAGAAAATGGACCAAAACTTTGAAAGATAAAAGCCATAAACAATTCAGATATTTTTTGGCATTGTACTTGAAGCTTGCATATGTTTAATCACAGATGACTCAGCAACTGAATATCAAAAGGAAAAAGCCTGAACAAGAAACCTTCAGGTATTCTCGAATACTTCAGTGCCTGTTGTGAGGATGGACTTTATGAAACACCCGTGTGTGTGTGTGTGTGTGTGTGTGTGTGTGTGCGCGCGCGCGCGCGCACGCACGTGCTGGGGGTGGGGGGTGTGAGTCTCAGTATTAACTGGCTTAAAGACAATCCTGTTACATTTTTTTTCCCCCACAGATGAGGTTACATCTTTTTTTTTTCTTCCTTAGATCTTAAAATTTATCAGCTATCAGCTCTGCATAGCATAGCATCCAAGTAAAGGTCACTGTTCCATCTAGCTGCTGTTATTCCCGCATAAGCAGGCACCCAGAGCACAGGCGGGTTTCCAGTCACCACTTACCCTGAGGTGGGCACCTTCGTGCAAGGCCACAACCTTAACACAGCAGTCATGCAGACAAGCACAAAGATCTTCAGTATTTAACTGGCGGACCCATATAACTATTTATACAACATACCCCCGCGCATATGCAAACACGACTGAAAGTTGTGGAAGGATTTAACTGAGTAAATGGAGAAGGATATTCACCAAAAGTGAAAATACAGAGCTTCAAAAAAGTTCAAGAGGGCAGGTCTCTGTCCCCTCCTTCACCCTCAGGTGGCTGGGACATTGCAGCCAACAGGAACTCTGGGGATGGAAGGAAGGTAGGCAGAGGCTTCAACACTGTAAAACTCCCATCCCTGGCAAAACTATGGTCTTTCCCCAGGAGATGCTCATTCACACACACACACACTCTCTCTCTCTCTCTCTCTCATAAAATGAAAGAAGAAAAAACCCACAGATAACAAACGACCTACTCACCGGAGTTTGCAAAAACAGGGGTAAACAAAACACAGTTATCTTGTTGTTTTAACTGCATTAAAAATTTGTAATCCCAGGCAAGAATAGGCTAAATGCTGAAGGAACCAGTCTTGACATGCTGTCAGTTTTGCCTCTTTGAGCTTTTTACTACCAGACACCTGATGCTCAGATTAAAAAAACGATTTTTGAACAATATCATATATGCATATCAATCCTGCTTTACGATCCAAAGTTTACAAGAGTTGTCTTCCACTACAAATAAATACAGGACGTTACACGTTCAACACTGTGACCTGTGTAACAGTGGCTCAAGAGCTATTTAAGGAACAGAAATTCCAGGTTAAATATGGTATATTATCACATGTGCAAAGAGACAATGTACAAGAACATTCACTGCAGCACTGTTTATATATTAAGTCTGGAAGTAATCTAAATGGTTATTAAAGGGAGAATGCATTAGTAAAGCTTAATACATTCACACAATGGAAAACCTGAGTAAAAATGTAAAGAATTTAGGCTACCAAGCTCAAAATGAGGTATTATGTGGATAAACTGCAAACAACATGGGGTAGAAGAAAAGCAAGCTGCAGAAGGATCATGTAATACTATTTATACAAGGCTTTAAAACTCCCAACCCGACCTCTGCCTTAGAGGCAGAAGAATTAGAATTTGTTAGAACAGTCTTGCACATTCCTTGTATGCGCACTAAAGACCTAAGGAATAGTCCTTCTAAAAATAGGAAATTAAGGTTAAAAAAAAAAAAAAGACTATTAATCATATAAAGTTTCCCAAATGGCAGGGAGGAGCCTTATTTAGTAATGGAAATCACTTAGCCCCTTAAGTCCGAGGATGTGTGTTCTATGTCCATTTTGCTACTCACCAAGACACTATTTTACCAAGATTCAGTTTGCTCACCCAAATGGGGTTGGTAACACCTGCCTCGCAGGTGGAAGTGAAATAAGGTATGTAGAAGAGTTACACCAAAGGTCTTGGGCTTGTTTTTTGCCTACCAGTCAAGAGATCAATCACACAAGAACTCTCTACAGGAGGAAAAAAAAAAAAAAAAAAGGTTGAATCTGCACTTTTTCATCCAGGCTAGTATATCGTCAAACGTGACAAAGAACACAACAGGAAAGGGCAACCCCTCACCTTCCTCCTCCCCGTCCCCCACCTGGCTGCCTCCTAGGTTTCTATACTTAGCACACGGTGCTGCCCCCCAAAGCAACAGCAAACAAACACGAGCCCGAGGCTCTCGCAGGTTCCCTTGGGAGCTCCCCGCGACCTTGGAGCGAATGTGCCCTGTGGCCAGCCCCAGTCCCCTCCGCGCCCGCGCCCCTCGCCAGCCCCAACCGCCGCGGCCACGTCGGAGCCCGCAAAAGGCACAGCCCGAGGCCGCGGGGTCCGGAAGGTCGCGTTCGTCTGCAAAAATTAGGAGGAGAGTGTAGACGGCGGACCCTAAGCCCTCCTCGGAAGTCTGGGCGGCTCGGGGCCGCGGCTTGCGCCCGCACTCGCCCAGCACTCGCCCGGCCCACGGCGGGCTCCGCGGGCATCGGGCACAGCGGGGGGGGGGGGGGGGGAAGACCCGGCACAGCGGGGGGGGGGGGACCGGGCACAGCTGGGGGGACCCGGCACAGCTGGGGGGGGACCGGGCACAGCGGGGGGGAGAGGGGGAGACCTAGCACAGCGGGGGGGGGGACCGGGCACAGCGGGGGGGACCCGGCACAGCTGGGGGGGGACCGGGCACAGCGGGGGGGGAGAGGGGGAGACCTAGCACAGCGGGGGGGGGACCGGGCACAGCGGGGGGGGGACCCGGCACAGCGGGGGGGAGACGGGGAGACCTAGCACAGCGGGGGGGGGGACCGGGCACAGCGGGGGGGACCCGGCACAGCTGGGGGGGGACCGGGCACAGCGGGGGGGAGAGGGGGAGACCTAGCACAGCGGGGGGGGACCGGGCACAGCGGGGGGGGACCCGGCACAGCGGGGGGGAGACGGGGAGACCTAGCACAGCGGGGGGGGGACCGGGCACAGCGGGGGGGACCCGGCACAGCTGGGGGGGGACCGGGCACAGCGGGGGGGAGAGGGGGAGACCTAGCACAGCGGGGGGGGGACCGGGCACAGCGGGGGGGACCCGGCACAGCTGGGGGGGGACCGGGCACAGCGGGGGGGAGAGGGGGAGACCTAGCACAGCGGGGGGGGGACCGGGCACAGCGGGGGGGACCCGGCACAGCTGGGGGGGGACCGGGCACAGCGGGGGGGGAGAGGGGGAGACCTAGCACAGCGGGGGGGGACCGGGCACAGCGGGGGGGGACCCGGCACAGCGGGGGGGAGACGGGGAGACCTAGCACAGCGGGGGGGGGAACCGGGCACAGCGGGGGGGGACCCGGCACAGCGGGGCCCCGGGCGGCAAGCTCCTCTGCACCGGGACCCCGCGGGGACCCTCCGAGGGGCACAACCTGCCCCCGCCCCTCGCGATCCTCCGAGGGCACAGCCCGCACCCTGCACGCGGGGACCCTCCAAGGGCACAGCCCGCGCCCCCCGCCCCCCGCCCCCTGCACGCGGGGACCCTCCGAGGAGCACAGCCCCCGCCCCCCGGGACCCTCCGAGGGGCACAGCACCCCCCCCGCCCCCCCGGGACCCTCCGAGGGGCACAGCCCCCGCCCCCCGCCCCACCCCCGGGGACCCTCCGAGGGGCACAGCACCCCCCCGCCCCCCGGGACCCTCCGAGGGCACAGCCCCGCCCCGCCCCGCCCCCGGGATGCGCGCCGAGGCCCCGCGCCCGCCCTCCCCGACTCCCGGCGGGCGCGGCGGGCTCCCGCTCACCTGTCTTGAAGACCATCTTGTCGTCGTCCTTGGTCACGAAGGTCTTGAGCATGGCCACGAAGAGCACCCCGCAGGCGTTCTGGATGCCGAACACCGACCCGTTGCACCACATGGCGGCCAGCATCACCAGCCAGCCCCAGCCGCCCTCGGGAGGCTGCGGGGGCTCCGCGCCCGCCGGCCCCGCCAGCTCCACCTCCACCCTCTCCCCCGCCGCCTCGGGGCGGTCCGCGGGCCCCGGGCAGGGCAGCGGAGCGGCGCCCCCCGGGGTGGCGGGGCCCGGCGGCTGCGCCTCGCTCGTGCCCCGCGCGGCGGCGGGCTCCTCGGGGAAGGGCACCATGGCCCCGGGCGGGCCCCCGGGCGCCAGGGGAGCGCGGCGGCGGCGAGTTCCCGGGGAGGCCGGGGAGGCCGGGGAGGCCGGGGCGCGGGCGGCGGCGGCGGCGGCGGGCACCTCGGAGCTCGCGACCCAGGCCTCGGTCCGCAGCCCCGCACCCGCCACTGCGGCTCGGCCCGCCGGCCGCCTCTTAAGGACGCCCCCAGCCCGGGCCCGGGGGCGTGGCCGGAGCGGGACGCGCCCCAGACTCTCCCCTGATTGGGCTTCGGGGCGGCGGGGGCGGGGCCAGCCGCGGGGAGCAGCCGGGCCCCAGGTGCCCGCGGGGGGCGGCCGAGCGCGCGCCTGCGGCAGGGCCGCGTCCAGCTCCCCGCGGGGGCACCGAGGTGGGGGCACCGAGGTGGGGTCCCCGGGCCTCCCGGGACTCGCGGAAGGGGCGCGGGCCCTCGCGGTGCGGCCTGGCTGCGCCCCCACGCCGCAGGACGCGGCCCCCCGCAGCCTCAGCTCAGGGACAGCTGCCTCTTTGTTTTTTTGTTTTGCTCTTCGGCATTCACCTCTTACCACTAATTATAATATATGCAGGCTCGCAATGCCACCTGCTTACTTAAAAGAAAGAAGACGACTCCTTTCATTCCTCCTGCTTGCATACACGATTTCCTATAAATACTTGGCGCATTGAAGACGCCCATGTGGCAAGGGGCGGACCTATGTAATACCTAAGCTTTCAAGGGACATTTTTGGCAACACAGCTGGAAAAGTACTTTTGCACGACAGCACAGGTGTTTGCACTTTAGACAAAACCCGGCACGTGAAGTCTGCCTCCCTGAAGCATGGAGCAGCGATGCATGTGAAAGGGAGGAAGAACAGCCGTGCAATCTTGAGCACACTTCTTAATTGTTCAGTTAGATTCTTCACCTCAAAGTCAAAATATACTAGCTATTTGATGTGCCCACCGCTACGGTGGGGCACATAGATGAGTGTGATTGGTCGTATTTCTTCCTCTACCCCTTAATAAACTAGTGGGAGAAAATCCTGGGATAGGATAGGATAGGAGGCTCAGAGGATGAATGTTATACACACACAACAAAGAGAAGTGGGATGGAGCCATCCAATTCTCTTCAAAACACTACAGAAGAGCTGTCGCAAGTCACCGCGGAGCTCAGCCCTGAATCAAACAGGGAACTTGAGTGGGCAAGGATAGAGGAAGAGTGTTCTAGGTAGAGAAAATCACCTAAGCTGTGAAAAGCAGGGCGTGCTTGGAGAACAGGGGACATAGCTCAGATATAATGTGTCTGAGGGAGGGGTAGGAATCACAGACCAAGGGACGCCTGGGTGGCTCAGCGGTTGGGTGTCTGTCTGCCTTCAGCTCAGGTCATGATCCCAGAGTTCCCCCGATGATGTCCCACATGGGGCTCCCTGCAGAGAGCCTGCTTCTCCCTCTACCTGTGTCTCTGCCTCTCTCTCTGTATCTCTCATGAATAAATAAATAAATAAATCTTAAAAAAAAAAAGTCATAGACCAAGACTAGTCATACAAGTGCACAAGGATGTTAATCCAGCATTGTTGAAAATAAGGGAAAAGGGGAAGCAAAGATATGCATCAGTGGCTGGTTGATTAAATACATTCTACATCATCTCTAGAAGTTATGTTGTTTACCTCCAGCGACTTTGAAAGTTATTATCCACAACATTTTATTTAGCAAAGAAAACACATCATTTAAAAAAGGTATGGCTTATAACACAAAATATAAAATAAATATCCATGAGTCAATAGTGATATAAGTAAATGTTTAAGTATATTAAGTCTTCCTTTCAAAACCTATAATCCCAGTCTAATCATTAAAAAAAAAGAATTAGGGGCACCTGGGTGGCTCAGTAGGTTAAGCCTCAGACTCTTGATTTCAGATCAGATTAGGATCTCAAGGTTGTGATATTGAGCCCCTGATCAGGTTCTGTGCTGGGTGTGCAGCCTGCTTAAGATTCTCTCTCTGCCCCTACCCCTGTTCACGCAGGCGCAAGCTCATTCTCTCTTAAAAAAAAAAAAAAAATTAGGGACTCCTAGGTGGCTTAGTTGATTAAGAGTCTGACTTGGGCTCAGGTCATGATCTTGGGGTCCTGGGATGGAGCTCCACCAGGGCCCCTGTCAGACTCTGAGCTCAGCAGGAAGTCTGCTTCTCCCTCTCCCTATGCCCCTCCCACTGCTCTTGCTCACACATCCTCTCTCTCAAATAAATAAATAAAATATTTTTTAAAAATTTAGATAAATACCAATTGAGGGACATTCTACAAAATGCCAGACCAGTACTCTTAATACTGTTGAGGTCATCAAAAACAAGGAATGTCTCAGAAACTGTCAAATCCAAGAGAAAATGAAGGCAGCGTGACAACTAAATGAAATGGGGCATCCTAGACAGGCTCCCAGAACAGAAAAAGGTTAGTAGGTAAAACTAAGGATATCTGAATAAAATAAAACAAATTATTAATATGGGCTCATTAATTGTAACAAATGTGGAATAGAAATTAAGATGTTAATAATAGGAGAAACTGGGTGAAGAGGTATGGGAACTCTGTATTATCCTTGCAATTTTTCTATGAATCTAAAATATTCAGTAGGGAAAAGACAATATCTTTAATAAATGGTGTTAGGAAAACTGAACGGTTACATACAAAAGAATAAAACTGGACCACTATCTTACACCATATACAAAAATAAGTTCAGAATGGATTTAAGATTCAAATATAAGACCTAAAATCATTAAACTCTTAGAAGAAAATATAGGCAGTAAGCTCGTTGACATTAGTTTTAGCTATTTTTTTGGACTAGTCTCTTTAGGCAAGGCAACAAAAGCTGATATAAACAAACAAACTTACATCAAATAAAAACCTTTTGCACAGCAAAATAAATCATCAACAGAATGAAAAGCAAACCTGCTGAGTGAGACAAGATATTTGCAGTCATATATCCATGAAGGGGCTAATATACAAAATATATAAAGAATTTATACAAGTTAATATAAAAAAAAACCCCAAACGACCCAACTTAAAAATGGGCAGAGGTCTTGAATATACATTTTTCCAATGAAGATATGCAGATGGCCAACAGACACACGAAAACCTGGTCAAAATCACTAATCAAGGAAATGCAAGTCAAAACCGCAATGAGATATCATCTCACACCCGTCAAAATGGCTAAAATCAACAACACAGGAAACAACAGGTGTTGGCAAGGATGTTGAGAAAAGGGAACCCTGGTGCACTGTTGGTGGAAATGTAAATTGTTACAGCCACTGTGGAAAATGATACGGAGGTTCCTCAAAAAAAGTAAAAATAGAACCACCATATAATCTAGCGATTCCACTTCTAAGTATTTATCAAAGAAAACAAAAATATTCAAAGAGATAGATGTATATATATGCATCCCCGTGTAATGCAGCATTATTTACAATAGCCAAGATATGGAAGCAACCTAAGCGTCCATCAGTAGATGAACGGATTACTAAGATGCCATATGTGTGTGCGTGTGTGTGTGTATAGTATATAAAGGAATATTATATACATAAAGTATATGATGGAATATTACTCAACCATGAAAAAGAATGAATCTTGCAATCTGCAACCACATAGATGGACCTAGAGAGTATTATGCTAAGTGAAATAAGTCATACAGAGGAAGAAAATACTGTATTATTTCATTTATCTGTGGAACCTAAAAAACAACAAACAGACAAAACAGAAACACTCATAGACAGGAGAATCATACTATTAATTACCAGAGTGGGGAGTGGTTGGGAGTTGGAGAATGGGTGAAATAGGTGAAAGGGGGATAAAGAGGTGCAAACTTACAGTTATACCCATAAGGATGTAATGTACAGCATAGGGAATATAGTCAATAATATTATAATAGCTGTATGGTGACAGATGGTAACAAGACCTAGGGTGGAGGTCATTCCTAATGTTGAATAATATTCTATCACTATAAAGCACACCTGAAACCAATAGAATATTGTATGTCAATTATATTTCAATTAAAAAATTAATCTGAGGGACGCCTGGGTGGCTCAGCGGTTGAGCATCATGCCTGACACAGGCAGAGGGAGAAGGAGGCTCCCTTCAGGGAGCACGATGGGGACTCGATCCCAGGACCCCGGGATCACACCCTGAGCCGAAGGCAGACGCTCAACTGCTGAGCCACCCGGGCGTCCCTCCATGCTCTTTGATAAAGATAATCTGGACCCTCAATTGGAAGGAGTTTTCTGGGCTGAAATCTTACTATTAAATCTGGCAAGTTTGTGCTTGGCGTGTTGTTTTTCTATATCAAAGGGGGAAACTTGAATCAGATTTTCTTGTCTGAATGTTTTTTATAAGAAAGTTTTTACTTCTAAATGCAAATAAGCTGCTGACTGAAGCAAACACTTGGGTGGGAAGAGAAACTACATTCTATTTCCATGTGGACACCTGCCACTAACTTCCATCTCGTTATTGGATTGACCTCTTGCTTCACCTTCTCCATCTGAAAATATGGAACTGTTTCTATATAACTACCTCCCGATAATGGTATGTTCCTTAATGAGTTTCTATTTATTAAGCACTTTGTGATCTTGAGATAAAAGGATTTATAAAATGTGAAACACTATAATTGTTCTTTAACTCTAAATGCCAGCAGTAACTTCACGGGTAGGCCTTTTCATCTGTAGTTTATGTTGAACTTATTATTTATAAACTAACTATTAATATATCCTTACTTGACTCCTCACTCTTTTCAGAAATGTTATTCTTTCCTGTTTGGGGGGGGGGTCTCATTTTTTAGCTAAGTATTAACACTTTCACTCTCCAAGAAATGTTCTCCATCTAGTCCAGTTCAGCATAAAAGTTCCTTAAACATCTGAGTTGAATTGAATATACTAAATACTAAAGTACTGGGATCCCTGGGTGGCGCAGTGGTTTAGCACTTGCCTTTGGCCCAGCGCACGATCCTGGAGACCCAGGATCAAATCCCACATCGGGCTCCTGGTGCATGGGGCCTGCTTCTCTCTCCCTCTGCCTCTCTCTCTCTCTCTCTGTGACTATCATAAATAAAAAAAAAATAAAAATATTTAAATA